GTAGTCTTTTGACTTCTCACACATAAAAACACACAACATATAAACTCCATTTGATTCGCTTTTGATCCAGCTGCAGATTGTATTTATTATTATTATTATTATTATTATTAAATATTATCATTAAAAGATAAAGGCACTGACATGCAACTTATTAAACATGTATGTAATCTTTGCAGCTGTGACTGAGCTGAAAATAGATATATTGTCTCTGATGACAAATATTAAGTTATAACAAACATTTGTTATATATATTGGATTTGCTTTCACCAAAACAAGGTAAAATATATACATAAACAAAAACGTAGTTAAACATTACTAAATTACACTTAAAATATTAGCCAAAATGTATGCCATATAATACAACAAAATATATTTGGTGTTAGTATTAAAAATAAAAATAGCTAATAATGAATAGCTAAAAATTGAGCAATTGTGGTTATGACATTTAACTTAAAGGATCTTTTCTAATTCCAAAAGAAAAAAAAACATTAGGGTAATTTCAGCATAACTGTTCCATAATTTCCCCCAATTAGAGCAGAAAAGGGCTAATAAAAATTTAAAATGTGACCTAATATTTATTTTTATAAGACAGCAGTATGTTGTCATATCAGTTGCTCACCAGTTCCCATCATAGAAAAACTATTTTAATATTTGCATATAATTTTCAACACAGCTGCCATTAAACTTTAGGCCACTTTAAATGAGTTAGAAACAAATCCATATAACTAGAAGCAGGTAGTAAGAGCGTTTTTGTAAATCACATACATTATTCATTATAGCTGGAAATATTAAATTAATTAAATGCCACAACTCAACTAATGTATTGTTAGATATTATCTTTATTTTTGTTTGTTTTATTTTGCTTGTGCTGCCATTTTGATGTGAAGTCTAAGCCTGATGCTATTGCCTGTCATTAAATAAATCCATAAACATGTTAAATGCACAGTCACAATGAACTAAAATAACAGTCAAATCAACACGTTACTTTGTCTTTAAAATTACATTTTATCTCATTTGAACCCCCGTTTTACTTTTTGATGAACTTTGGAACTGCTTATAATTGAAGCCAAAACACAAATTGTGCTCTAAGAAACATATCATGTAGACAGCTATGGTATTTTTGGAGGCTTTGGCCTGATTAACACTCATTGTCACACAGATAGTTGGTTATTTCAGTAGCAACAGGTAATCTGCATCTATTTAGTGACTCCTTTTTTGCAGAACTGTCCATGGTGCTGAAATACGGCTGGATCATTTTTTTTTCTCATTCAAAAAGGAAAACATGTATGAGATCATCTAATTTCAAAGAGGTCTTTCAATATAGTTTTAGTTACCATGTGCACAGATACATGCACAAAAACATCCTCTGTCTGTTATTCAGAACACCTAGACTTTCCAGAGTCTCCAAGATGAAAAGATGAAATACTAAGATCTCTTTGGCCAATCTGAAAGGATGCAGGACTGCATAGGGCTTTAATTCTCCCTATTATTTGTCCTCTGGAGCTTAGTGACTTCTCCTTAAAGCCAATTGCTTCACGCCTGGTTGGTTAGGGGCCTGGCCAGTGATAGCAGTACCTAAAAGGCGGTTAAACTATAGTCCCTGGGTGGTGATTCCTATTGGCAGAACTGATCAAAAATGGTAATTAAAGTCAACTTAGATTTCACAGGTAAAAATGTGAAATAAACAAAAGGAATCAAAAGAAATAATAAACACATCAAAGGTGGAGTAAAACAAAAAATATTCATAATATACAACAAATCATGAAATCAAGCTCTTATGATTTAAAGGCCTGTTGAAACAAACAAACAAAAAAAACTGTCTGTCACAGCTTCTTAAAAGCTACATAGAATCAAAGCAAGACACCCCATAACCTGGAGGCCACAACTTTAAAAGATCTTTGTCCTCCACTCTTAAAACGTGTCTGTGGCGCTACAACCTCTTATCTCAGGCTTGGAGAGAAGGTGAAGCTCTAGCTAGTCACATAAATAAACAGGGGCAGAACCACATAGGCCTTTAGAATAGGCTTTTACAAGGACTTTGTACATTAATAGATGATTTCTTCAGAACCCTTAAAGCAGTGTTCTACACAGTCAGCCAAGCTTCTTGTTGGCTTATCAATTAAAAAGTGTCTGAAAAGACACAAAGTCAAAACTACCAAGATTTCGAAGCCATGATCAAACAGCTGATCTCAATGCAGATTGTTGATATGTAATAGCAATAATAAGACTTTTCATTCTTGCCTGAATTCAGCTCTACATAGTTATTATATTGTTTTTGTTTCACTAGCGTTGATGTACAAACCTGATGTAGATTTATGTTGACAAAATGTTTAAGTTAGCAGAAAGAGGAAGGAGAAATTGTGATGATAGAATGAGGAGAAGAGTCCGGGGGGGGGGGGGCGGAATCAGTTGTTTTTTTAGAGAAACTACACTAAAATTATTTTTCTCTTAAATGCATTCAAAGAGATCAGTTGTCCCAATGTAATATTGCAACAATTTTGCAATATTACATTTTAAAGTATGCGCACTAAATAAGAGAAAACAAAAAAAGCAAAAACTGATTTGTTATGTTTCATATTTTCTCATCCATATTAAACAGATGACTTTTATGTTTTTAAAGCTTTTTTTTTCTTTCTTTTTTTTGTCTCACGGTTCAAACTCGTTCACCTAATGAGCACACACACGTGTGGTCTCTCTGCTTTGCTCCGCGCTGACTTCTGCTGGACTCTTACTCGTTGTTAAAGTCCATCCTATAGTATGTCAAGTATCTACCCGCATACTGATGCAGAGCTCCAGAGAGAAAACAGATACACAATCCAGTCGGGCCTTTTGTTCGTGCCGTTTTCATTGACTGCTTGAGGAGAAGGGAGTCACTAATACAAGGAGAGTGAAAGAGGGAAGCCCCGGCAACCATGATGTTGGTTATATTTGTGTAAAGGCTATCAGTGAATGACGAGGATTAGGACGAGTTAAGGAGATTATGTCACACATTCAGCGTTCACACACCCCCGACAGCCACCCACCCACCCACACACACACACACACACACACAAACACACACGCACACACGCGCACGTACTCCCACCCATATCTGATAGCCACACATTTAGAAATGCCTCTAAAACCTGATTATTAAAAAATAAGACGCTTGTTTCATATATAATTCTATGATCAATTAAATAGATTCCTCTTATAATACATTTGATTTATTTCCTACTTTTGTATAAAAAAAAAGTAATGTGTGGCTTTTAAATGTCGCGTTTCAGACGTAAGGCTCTCCATGAGTCCCTTCAGGCGAATCAAAGGAATATCAGGGTGATTCCATGTCGGCCTTGTTAGGCTCCAGCACTACAGCCGTTCAGCTGAAAGGCAGGTTGCAGGACGCAACAATGGCTAATTGCAATTAACTACGCTTCTCCGCCTCACCCCTGTCCGCTTAAATCGACACTTTGTGCATCCATATGGCCCTTGGTGCACCGTGGGAATGGACACAATTAAAAAAAAAAGGAATATGGATTTCCAGAGTTACCCGGCGAAAGCGCAGCAAGCTGTCAAGGTCGAGGCCCTCCGTGCAGGCCTGCGGGCTGGCCCCCGAACTTTGTCCGGAAGGCCCCGGGGCGCAGGCAGGATTTCAGGGGTCCGAACCGCATCAGGGGCCACAGGGCGGGTTCTGAGAGGGGAGGGCTGTAACACTAATCTAAAATTTGCGCATAACTATAGGAATGTAAGTCTATCTGGAAGCACAAAAGGCATTAAAGACTATTTATAATAGCCTACGTTTCAAAAGTAATCCAAGTATTACTGCTGAAACGATGGATGTGGTCACACCTATGCATTTTCTTTAGCCTACAAAAAAGTGCCAAATTGAGAGTAGAAGCTTCAATGATGTCCCGGTTTGAGAAATTTCTGTTGCTCATAATGTTATTCATAATAATACCAATAATTAATTACATGGAAGTATTTCTGCAAAGCATAAGAAAAAAGTATGTTCATCTTAATAACTGATTTCATATTGTTTTAAATAACCTGAATATATAAAACAGGATTCCAACTTGACAAAACACTCCTTTCTCTCTAATTCTATTTTTAACAAGTTGACGTATGACGGGATTATATTTTGAACTGTCGGCCTTTTGAGTTTTAACGTCAGACTAAATCTTTTTTAAATAAGTAAAGAAACAAAATAGTAAAATAAATAAATAAATAAAACAAACTCCCGCTTAAACACGTGCAACAGACTGAAAATCCCAGTAGGCAGTGAAGCTCACAATGGCTTTAAAACGAGCCATGAACGGGAGGAAAGCGGCGCATAAATGGACACCCGCCCTCTCTCTGAGGAATACCCCTCAGAGAGAGAGAGAGAGAGAGAGAGAGAGACAGGGGGGGGCGGAGGGGGGTTAAAAAAGAGGTGTGGATGTATTTTTTTATTTTTTTATTCGATCATTTATTAAGCATTAAGCAACTTTTTTGTTGTTTCCGTGGCTGAGCTCTTTTCTAAACGGTTATATGCTATTATCCGTCAACTGAGGTCACGCTGCGAATCTCTGAACTTCACCAACTATAACGCAAATGAAGCTGTTTATTCAGAAGCATCTCAGCATGAGTTATGGAAAGTACTCGGAAGTGAAGCTCCAAATACTGTCTCTGCACACTTGCAGACGCACTTTGACTCCTACTGCCTATTTTTACCCCAAATGAATAAAAAAATAACTAAATTATATATATATATATATATATATATATATATTTATATATATATATATATATATATCCTCTTGTTATTTCGAAAAGTGTAATTTTTGTATTAATTTAGAACTTCTACAAGAAAAATACTAACATGTCTCATAAAAGTATTTGAAAAAAAAACGTATGCGGCGTCTTTTCAGCCATGGAACTTTGCATCCCTATCCTTTCCACACACACGCATGTAAACAAACACACACACACACACAAACACCCTCACACTCCCGGTGACGTCAGGTTGGAGTTTAGCGTAGAAAGCCAAGTGGATGGAGGAAGTGGAGCTCTCCACCCTCCAGCCTCCCCCTGGCACTTCTCATAAATATTACCGACGCTTATTCGAGGGGAACTCGCAGCACAAAGTCACGTCGTGTCCCGGTGTGTTTAACACATTTTCACCCCTGATTTTAGCCCAAAATTTGCCTTTTTTTTTTTTTTTTTTTTATCCGTTTCTCTAGCGGCTTCAGCGCCCCGTCGGATCCTCCGCAGGCGGTGGTTTCTTTCCTTCGCACACATTCAACTTTACGCGCCGGGTTGGTGCGCACCGACCTGCCGGAGCAGCGCTGCTGCCTGTCACCGATACCCGGTTGCGTCTCTCCTGCATGCCGGAGCTCCAGTCCGGCTGTAATGAAGGCAAAGGGTGCCGAGATAAAACTCGGGCGCTGAGTTTTCATTTGGAGCTCTGAAACGAAGCCTGCGACTCAGACAAGTTGGTAACTGGACTTTTTATCCGCTGAAGAGCAAAACACACCGCTTCTACTTCAACAGTTTTCTTGTTGTACTCCTAAAGTAAAATATTTATTTTTAAAAAAAAGGGGGGTGGGGGACAATTTCCTTGAGAGACTGTAGAAAGACCTGAACATTCATGATGAGCAAACCCGCCGGTTCAACAAGTGGCTGTTTGGATATTCTGAACGTCAAATCAAGTAAGTTTCTCTCATCCATTTCTCGATGTTCCTCAAATATATTCAGTCGTCTAAGGAAGGCCTTTCTCGGACTTGATTTAAAAAAGTAAAATAAAATAAGCAATAAACTTTTTTGCGCGTATAATTTACAGCTTTTAAGCAATAATTTTGTCTTTTTCAGATAGTTATGTGTGATCTATTTTATTTAGATGTGTTGTTTGTCGCACGCAAGGTGTCTTCTTGTGTTTCGTAAAGAAATAGACCAAGATAGAAATAATTAAAAGGAGGGTTATGCACCACACTCGATGACACTTGTTGCCTGTGTCATGTAAGTTCTTCCGACGTAAAAAATTAAATTCAATTAAATTAAAATAAAAACGCAACAAACTAAGGCAACTTTATTTTTGCTACGTATTTAATATTGATCAAAAATCCTCCGACTTAACTTTGCTTTAACTAATTTCTTATATTCTCTAATTTATACATTTAAAATGTCCTAAAACTACTTTAATATTTTGCAGTTACTTAACCTTAAATATTGTGATTGTATTAGAGCGGTATATTTACGGTTCTTTGTCTCTTTTTTTTTCTTTTTTCTTTTTTTTGCGCTCCGGAACTTTTCTAAACATCTCTGCACAAGGCCCCAAAAAAGTGCAAATATTAAACGTCTGATCTTTATAAACACCAAATTAAATATATTTCCTCAACAAATTTTAACAACTTTCTGTCAAATTCACATATAATGGTATTTATTTTTAGTTAGTTGTTTGTAGCTTCAGCACAACAAAATCTGTGACGCTAAGTTGTTGTTTCGGTGTTTCCCTTTTCCCTAAATGTTGTGATTGTATTAGAAACTTAACTTTCTGGAGCTACTCAACATGTTTTTAAATTAGTGTTTAAATGTAATTTGGAATCGCTTCCTCCTCACTACGCCAAATGTCATATTGTCTAGAAATACAGTCTCCTTTTTATTAGCAGCTCTCAGTCATGATGGTGATTACGTTAATAAAATATGCCATATATTTTCAGGCAATTAATGCGCACAATGGACCCGCACTGGACCCCCACGGTGGGAAACTAAACCTTCTTTCCACAACAAAAATTCGTCACCGATTCGTTTAAATCGACAATCAAATTCCGCGGTTTATTATTTGTCGTCGATTTTTAACGACTTTTTTTTAAAGTAGTTTTAAAAAAAGTGAATTTAATTAAATTCAAACATTTAGTCAAGTTTCCCTCCAATGCATGCAAAGAAAAACAATAATATTTTCATTCACATTTTTTCCTCTTGCACATTTTAAGAACCATTTGATAAGTAAGAACCAGATGCTAATTTGCTTCTCTTTTTTTACATATATATATTTTTTTTAAAAGAATCCTTTTCATGTAACATTTAAAATCACATTCCTATATGCTGTAAGGTAAGTTGGTTGTGTCCCATAGACCAATATTCCCCACGGCCTTCTGATTCTGAATAAACAGCCAATTGAAGTCGTATAACTCTCCCCTGAAGTCATTGTCTTTGCTGCCGAGTAGTTATTCCCATGCTACCCTTTTTGACGGGTCACTGGTGAATCAATGAGCAGGTGGCAAAACGTCAGTGTAATTACATAGTCGGCTTTTCCCTCCAGAGCGAGAGGGGGGGAGGGAAGCTCCCTCATATGCATACAAATATAGTTCTTTTTCAACAGATTTGAATACAAAATCTTCACCAAAAAAAAAAATCAAATTTTTTTTTATCTACACTGGGCTCGATTTACATACACTTCATTTGAGTTGGTGAAACGAGTTGGTGCGCATTATTCTCGCAGTGCAGTGTCACTCCCTAATCCTGGGGCCTATAGACCTGCGGGATAAAGCAGCTGTCGAGTCCCATTATGAAGTGGAGTTGGCAGCTTGTCGAGATCCAGGCAGTCAGACGAGGTTCAATGGGGGAAAATCATTAAGTTAACACTTTCCCCTAATGTCTCCATTGTGCGCCCTCGAGCTATTGTCTTAGGGAGCTCAGATATGACGCTTCCCACCGGACTTTATTCCCGAAATATGCTCCAGTGAATTCCCATGGTCATGGTTGGGTGAAGAAAGGGCCGTGCGTCCATGTTTGCCCGAAAAATAAATCTTTCGCTCGACAATTTATCCGTTGCTCCAGAGTCATTTACAAAGTTAATGTCACCGCAGATCGTGCAAGTTTGAATCATATTACTGTACAAACTCAAAAGCGTGGATAAACCACCACGATTTGCCACCATATTTCATTCATTTACTTCGGTCTTGACTGAATCTCGATTTTGAATGCTGTCCAACTGACATTCTGGCATCTCCAAGGTCGGATTCTGGACATCCCATGCAAAGTGTGCGGCGATCGCAGCTCAGGAAAACACTACGGTGTTTACGCATGCGACGGCTGTTCGGGATTCTTCAAGAGGAGCATCCGGAGGAACCGAACCTATGTGTGCAAGTCGGGCTCACAGGTGAGTAGGGGAGGTGAGGGGAAGTTCTCAGAATAGCTTGAGTTGCTAATTTCAAACAGTGTGTGCTATTCAAACTATTTGAATAAGTTGATTGGATTTTTTTTTTCCATGCAAGAAAGAAAAATACGGACTCGCGGCAGCGGTTGTACATATTTTTTCTATTGCAATAAATTGTTATGCAACTTTTTCTCCAAACATGAATACTGATATACATGAATACTGGTTCCTTTTAGAGAAAAAAAACAAGCAAAACGTTTTACCTTTACGCACTGAATGCGCATATTACGTACGGAGCTTTCTGTGTCTCGCTCCCTTTTTTTTTTTTTTTTTTTTTTTTTTTTTTTTTTTTTTGGTTTTTTTTTTTATTTTTTTTTAGTTGCTTTCTTTTTTTTT